TATTAGATAGATAGATAGATAGATAGATAGATAGATAGATAGATAGATATAGTAGATGACAGATAGATGATGGATAAACAGTAAAAGACTACATGGTTTCACTGTATAGCTCCAACTGGCCTGGGACTTGCTTTGTAGACCAGGCTGACCTCAGTCTTACAAAGATCAGCCTGCCTCTGCCTCCTGAGGGCTGGGGTGAAAGGTATGTTTTACCATTCTTAGCCCCTAGATACTGGTATACAACCCAGACCCACCTGCCTAGGGATGGAGCTACCCACAAAGGACTGGGTCCTCCTGCATCAGTTAATAACTAGGAAAATCCCCCCCCCCAGACATGCTCATAAGCCAAGCTGTTCTAGGCAACTCCTCAACTGAGGCTTTCCTCTCAGACAAATCAAAGCTGTGTCACGTCAACAATTAAAGCTAACATTAGAGTGGGAAGCCCCTTCCTCACCTTCACGGTGTCAGAGAGAGGAGGAATCATCCATCTGTGGTGGTAAAGGAGATATTTAAAAGTCCATGTCAACTTCAGATAGAAGCTAGTTCAACAGGAAGATCAGAATTCAGGGCACTAGCTCACATGCACATGGCCCTGGTCCCTTCCCCAGCACTAGAGGAAGAAAACGGTAACTCCATCAACAGCAGAGCATCCTTGGAAACAGGGAGGAAGACTGTCATTCTGACTCTTGTGAAGGTCAGTGTTTAAAGACAATGATGATTTCAGTCCACTTTTCACAGAAGTTGAAAGAATCAAGTCGAGAAATGAAACACCAAATACATCTCTTCTGAGCCCAAATTTAGCCTCATTAACATTAATGCTAATTGGAACTCCGACTACAGTTTTAGCTGCACTTAATGTGAAATGCATTTGGGCTTTAGGGTTGTGCACAAAATGAATTACGGCAAAACATTTTGAAGCTGGGGATATAGCTCACTTGGTAGAGTCCTTGACTACCATGCATGAGGTCCTGAGTTTGATTCCCAGTACCACGTAAATTGGGAGTTGTGATGTATGCCTGTAATTGAGATGATGGCCAGCATGAGGATCCAAAGGTCAAAGCCATCTTCAGTCATACAGCACGATACAGACCCAGACCAGCCTGGGACACATGAAACCTTCTCAAAATAACAGTAACAATCTGAGCTGCAAATACACTCAGCAGTTTCAGAGGACCCAGGCTTGATTCCCTGCACATGTTCTGGGTCACTCACAGTCTTATATTAACTCTGGTTCCAGGCGAATCCAGTCCCCTCTTCTGGCCTCCACAGGCACCAGGCACACTCATCATGGTACACACACACACACACACACACACACACACACACACACACACAAATATTTACAAATAATTGTGGTAATAATATGTAGCCAGCTCTACAACATTTTGAAGATGAATCTTTAAACTTGGGTCCGGAGATGGGGGAGGTGGCAGGGGGGATTGGAATTGCTCTGTAGTATCTGCCCACTTAACCCTTACTGGCTAAGAAATGCTTGTGTGCAGGGCCCATGAACTGAAATGCACTGTTATTCAATCAATTCTATTAGCATCATTTCTTCCCATGCTGTGCGGTAGGTAGTAAGATCTCAAACTTTGGTCCAGATCTAAGTCATTTTTGGTCAACTAGGAAGTAGACCCAATCAGCTAATACTGGTTTTGGTTTTTTGGATTTTTTTGTTGTTGTTGTTTGGGGGTTTTTTTTGTTTTGTTTTTTGTTTTTTTGCATTTGTTTTTTAGGATAACTCTGAAAAATGAATCAAGAAGACAAAGAACATTCTGGAAGGAAAGCACAACATCCTGAAATGGATGTGTTACTTGAAAATATAAACCATTTTTTCTCAGCTTGGCTCTGCAGACCATCTCGGAAAAGGATGTTTTTATAATCAGAGCAGAAACATGACTGACTGCACCTCCATTTCCATTTCTTTGTTGCAAAATGAATGTGACTGGTTGGGGTTCCAGCCTCAGGAGAAAGCGGAGGCACTGGGAGGTTACTTTCCAAAGTGAAACTTCAAACCACAACCTCCGGTGCACAAAAGGCAGAGCGAGCGAGTCACAGGAAGAGGCCACTCGCTTGCAAAATGCATTAAAAGTAACGCAGGCTGGATGGACTTCCTGCCCCAGTGAACAGATCGCTGGCACAGGGACAGGCTCCTCGAGGCTCCCAACCATTTCAGGGAGAAAGAGGCCATTAGAAATCTGGGCACATCCACCTCTACCCTGCATTCCCACTCTGCCCAGGCTGCCAGACCTGCCCTCTCCTCCCAGGCCTGTGCTTCCCATCTGAGATGCTCCCAGGAAGGCAGATCTGACTGGATGCCTCCTACCACAGGGTCGTAGGGTAACCAACCTTGTGACTTAAGTGAGCACTTGTGGCTGGGTCTCCAAGGTCCTTTAATAAAAAGAGGTGAGAAGTTCTTTGCAGAGGGTTCTCCTGCTTGGGCAAGTGGGGTGGAGGAGATGTGAGTCCTGAGAGGACGGCATGCCACAGCTGGCCAGATAAAGGCAGAAGTGAGCTCGGGCCTGGGCTATTGTCCGAAGCATGTGTGTGCATCCAAAACCCCATAAGGACTCATTAAAATGTATCTCAGAGGCCCATGCCCACTGCTGGGGTCAGTAGGTCTAGGGTAAGGTCCCCAACACTTGTATTTTTAAGGAACTCCCTGATCCTTCAAGGCCACACACACACACACACACACACACACACACACACACACACACACACACAAATGGATTTTAAATCTGAACAGACTGGCCTCTGAAGCTCCCTGAGGATCTGGGCCTCAGGTTGAGCCCATCCCAGGGATATCAGTACTAAAACGGTTTCCTGAAGAAATCTCCCTGCCTCCACACAAGGCCAGTCTACAACCTGGCTGATCTCCAAGCCTGGCACTACAGGCAGAGAGAGGCCTTTGTCAAAGAGGCTGCTTTGAAAGGCTATTTGGCCAAACTAGAACCAACTGTGCCCCCCAGTGGCCACTAGCTTCCACTGGTCATAACTGCTTTCCTTCCGGTACCAAGCCTGCTTATACAAGTAAGTGATAGCAATTATCCTCTTTGATGCTACAGGGTTGAAAGAAGAGTTAAAAATGTAAAGGCTGAGCTGCAGGTGTGGGGCAATTGGGAGAGTGCTTACCTAGCGCTCACTAGCATGTCAGGTTCAATTCACAACACCAAATAAGCCAGTCATAGTGGCACACAGCTGGAATCCCAGCACTTGAGGGGTAGAAGGATAATAATTCGGAGTCAACTTTGGCTACACATTGAGTCCCAGGCCATCCTTATGAGACCTTGTCTTTAAATTAAATTGAGGCTGGGAAGATGGCTCAGTGAATAAACCACTTACCACACAAGTGAGAGGACCAGTATTCAGATGCCCAGAACCCATGCAAAATCCAGATAGATACAGTAGTCGCCTGTAATCCTTGCAACTCACCAGCGAAAATGGGATCACAGTGCAAGCTGACTGGAAAAGGGAGAAATCCCAGGAACCATTTGCCTTTCCTAATTCATGGGAATGGACACAGTGCTGTCCACATTGCGGGGCCATAAGAAAACACAGGTAGACAGAGTGAGATTCGATATAGGAGTGCAGGTCTCAGCTCTGATGTGGGGACCACAGGCCTGCTGGGGTCTGTTTAGCTCTGGAACTTGCTTGTTTCAAGCTGGGCCTCTTTTAACTTTCCTCTATGACAATTCCACTCTGTTGCACAAGGGTCATATGCATTATCTATCACAAAAGGACACGCTGTGTTCCAAAGCTGATAGCTAAGACCAGCCTCCCATACTTCTTGGCCTCTGGTGCAAAGCAGAGGTCTGTTAACTCTTCGAAACCAAACCAAGCACTTCAAATGCCCAGGTGAACAAAGCTCATCTCTGGTAGAGTCTAAGCATACAAAATAGTTCTGTCCGCATGGGGAGTGTAAGCTGCGGGGACACAGGAGCGCCTCAGGTGCCACTGTGGAAGTAAGGTGTCAAAGGGCAGAGAGAACACATATGAATGAATGGCCTACAGACAAGTTCACTGTTGGAGGTTGGTCTGATGCATGCTACTGGCCCTCAAGATCTGGTTACACCTAGTCTTGTTTTGTAAAAAACTAAGACATACCTGTTTGGTTGATTAAATGGCCTATACCTGGGCAGGGAAGAATGGGGTAGGTATGGCTAATGCTCCCAGGCTTATAAAGGACAGGGTGAATCACAGGGACAGAAAAATGGGAAGAGAAGAGGAAGAAGGATGCCATGATGGATTAGTAAGGAGAAAAAAACATGTAGCCTGAGAGAAAGGACTTCAATAATGGTGTGAAAATGCTCAGATGAAAAAATACAAGCAAGTACCATGGGATTATGGATGGAAGGTAGACCAGATGAGGAGGATTGAGGTGCAGATCCTCAGATGGGTATGTATGCACTTATACACCCATGCACGCAGCAGCCAGGACCTCAGGTACTGTCCCTCACAGGGACAGTCCTCCATATTCATCGAGACAACGGTCTCTCACCAGGACCTGGGGCTTCTGGATTCCACTAGGCTGTCTGTCGAGCCAGTACCAGGGATGCAGCCACCTGTCCTCACCTCCCTAGCCCTGGTCTCATTTGGCTTCATACATGGATGCTGTGGAACCAACTTGGATACTTATGCCTGCATAATAAGTACTTTACTGCCTAAGCCATCTCCCTAGCCTACATCCAGGTTGTTAGTTTTGTTTTGTTTCAAATAAAGGACTAAGTATCATATAAGATAACACATCAGAAAAAAAATATAATAGCACCTTAAAAACTTATAAAAAATGATTTAAAAAATCATATGCCTAGGGCTGGAGAGATGGCTCAGTGGTTAAGAGCACTGGCTGTTCTTTCAGAGGTCTTGAGTTCAATTCCCAGCAACCACATGGTGGCTCACAACCATCTATAATGTGATCTGATGCCCTTTTCTGTCATAGTCATACCTGCAAATAGAGCACTCATATACATAAATAAATCTTTGAAAAAAATTAAAAATCATGTCTGATTTTCAGAAGTTTTTCATCCATCTTGTTTATTACAGAAATTTCTAGCTCTTCATCAAGCACAACACAATAATACATTGATTTTCATCATTGCACCAGCATTCACAGACATACAGCCAACCTTGTAAATAAAATATATTGCAGTAGTGATCAAAACCTGAAATCCAAAGGGGAAGTCTCTGTGACAACAGAAGCATGTCTCTGCAATGCACCACGTGGATTCTCCTTCATCATATGTGATCCATTTGAGGACATGTCACTATGCAGCAAGTCACTCATTTCCACAAGCAACTTTGAAATGTGTGGTATCAATATAGCACCCTAGCATGTGCCCTTGGGCCCTGTGGGCCCCATCACCTCCCCACCCATTATACTGCATATGCTGATAAGCAACTTGAGTGGACCTGGGTGCAGCTCACATTCCGATCTCACACGGGAGCATCAAGGCGGGTGCTCACATCACTACCTGGACAAGGCTTGTGCACACATCCTCGAGTGTGGTTTTCGTGGAAGGTATGCTCTGTTTCAGGTTAGAGTGATGTAGAAGTTTAAGGTATAACAAAACTAGATTCCCAAGCCAGGGGGAAGCATTGCTGTGTGTTTGAGACAGTGTGTTGCAGACCAGTCTTGGTTCTGGAAGACAGACCCTGGCTCAGGCCCTGGCATGCTCTCAGAATGCGGACTGCAGAGGACAGATGAAGGGATACTTCAAAGCTTCTCCTGGGCATGAGGGAGAAGGCTGTGAACTTCTGCAAGGCTGATGAATTCATACAGTCCACAGCAATCGAAATACACTCAAAACCACCATCCCGGTGGCAGAAGGGTTAACATGGCCTCTAAAAGTCACTAGAGAACAAGCCAGGAGCTCCCTAAGGCAGGACTATGCTTAATTACTTTCCTTACTACCTGAACGGAACCTGCACATTCAAGTCCGTTTCTCCATTGGCCTGTGGTCCACAGCAGATGACCTCTGGCTTTCATTGTCCATTCCTGTGAGCTACACCCAACCTAAGCAGAGACCAACAACTACAACAATGGCAGTGACTCTGAGTTTTCTTTCATAGAAAGAGTAACAGTCCATTCTACTGCCTTTTTTTTCAACCCTTTTTTTTTTTTTTTTTTTGTCTCCTCTGACTCTAACAACAAAATTTAAATAGGAAGGTCTTTCAGTATCTGGACTAAACGCTCTTTAAAAAAATAATACTTCCCAAAGTAAAGCAAAATCTTTTACCGAAATATTTATTTTGCTTTTCACATTGTTCTCTGGGACAGTTCAACAACTACCCTCTGTCAGCTTAAAGAACATCACTCAAATTAGTACTGTTTTTCCCCCTGCCCTTAGACTGAGTGTGGGGCGGGGGGGAAGCTAAGAAAAATTAATGATTCGGAAATTCCAGAAGATCAGTGTGTGACATACACAGAATAAGGCTCTTTGGATTGTCTAGCACACTTAACCTTTAATGTATTCATGACAGCTGCAATCCTAAGGGTCTGGCTGCGATGCTCACAACAGCAGCCCAATTAAAGTAAAGTAATAAATAATATCTGCAAAGAAAATAGTTTTAAATTCTGGAAACTACATTTTCTTAAAAAAAAAAAAAGTTTCTTTAGCAGCATTGTTCTCGTTTGGCATAAGCGCTGCTCAAGTCCACATTGGCAGCGCCTCCTTGCTGGGCGGCAGGACGCAGGAGGTGGTGAGACGCCACAGACGTTGCCTTAGGGACTGCCGCTCTAACGTAAGGCATTGCAGTTATGGAGAGCTAGACAGGGCACGGCTAAGAAAATGCCTGCTGCAGGTGCGTTAAGGCTTAAGTAGCCCAGCCTTGAGCTATGAGGAATGGGGAGAGGTGCAGCGGTCTCACAGGCCACCTCTCACCAAAGCAATTAAAGAGCTTATCACCCAAAGTGATACTAAGTCGGCAATACTGCAAAGGGAGCGGCTACAAAGCCAAACACCGAGGCCAGGGCCGAGATGCAGCGAGGCCCAGGTTCCCTTCAGAGCACTCAGATTCGGGATACAGCCTGTCCCTGTGTGTGGAAGGTGGCATGGGTGTCACTGTCATGGGAATGTGCCCCTTATGCTACCAAACACTGTGCACGTCAGAGTTCCCAGGGTGGCGGGCACGATGATATGGAGACGGCTCTTGGGTGGCCTGCCCTCCTCTGCTAAGGGGTCATCACCCGTATTGCACATTAACTAATTGCTGGAACAGACTGGAGGGTGCAGCATCATGCATGTTAAACCCAGACACAGAACTGCTTTGCACACGACTCGTGCACCCAATCCTCTTGCAGCTTAGGGGATGAGATGCGGCCTCCATCTGCCTTCCATGCTTAGAGCGCCCCCCGGGGGGCGAGTGAGTCAAGGGAGAAATGCTTCTCTCTTAGGCAGATGGCCGCAGATCAACCTTCCCAGCAGCTCCAGGGTCCCCACAACCTATCCTTTAAGGCTTGGTCACATCAAGCTGAGGCTGAATGTACGTCCTGGTTTTCAAAGGGCGGCAGCGGCTCTCTCCAAAAGGTAAAGTTACTGAAAGTGTCTGAACAGGGGAAGTCGGAGGAATGGCTTCTCTTCAGCAAGGGGAACACGTGGTCTACCACTTCGCAGAGCCTCACATACCTGGAAGGTAAAAAGAACAGCGGGGTCACTGCCCAGGGGACCACACCAGTCACATGAAGGCCAGTGCCAGATTCTGGGATGCACTTCAGGCCAGGGAGGAGCACACTCTCCCAACCCCAGGGAGCAGCCTGACTAAAGCCTTTCTAGCTTTATGAATTAACTGGAAGTGAGAAGGGGAGACCGAATGCAGAGCCCAGCTGTGCATGAAGGACAGACAGTGGGAGCAGAGGTACACGGGATAGACAGGGGAAGACCAGCACAGTCAGGGGGTCCTGCCTGTCATGGAGGCCGCATATGAAGGGGGAAGTGTACCACAGACAAAGCACATCTTTGGAGCAGCAGAGATGAATACATTCATAGTGAAAAGATACGGGGCCTTGTTGTTAACAAAATGCAGATTTGGCACCAGCTCTGCCCTGTTCCAGCTGTGTGATCTCAGGCAATGGCCTGCATGCCTCTACACCCTGACTTCCCCTAGAGTAAAGGAAGGCAAATGAAAAGGGTGCCACTTGCTTAGCATCAGAAACAACAGAGTAACACTCTCAATGATTCATGTACTGCAAACACATCACTCAACAGCGGATCACTGACACTTCAGGAAAAGGTCCCTGGCCTAAGGCCTCCTCCTCCTCCAGCCTTACTTGCTGTGTGACTCTGGGAAAATATCTTGCCCTCCCTGAGCTTCAGCCCCTTCATCTTCACAGTGTGTGGGGCTGGACCACACAGGGGTTTCTTGCACTCCCTACTTCAGGGCATTTCCTCTGTCCCCAGGAAGATGTTGCCTAGCCACAGCCTGCACTATAGAAAGAAAGCATTTATGTCAGTCAGCCTGGAACTCCTCCACACAGTGAGTTAGACACACCCGGCCCTCTCCTGCACAGCCTAGACTCCTGTTTCAGTCCTCGGGCCCCTCTCCACTCCCTTATGCTGAGAACCAAAGGGGGCTTTCGAAATCCAAACTCCAAGAATTAGCATGTTCAGAGGCATGAAATGACTTATTTAATAAGGCTGTGTATGTGTGTGTTTAATAAATGGCCTCCAAAAGACTCGTGAGAAACAGCATGCTTGCATAAAGTATGGAAGCCTCTCTTACTATTACACCAAGAATTATGTCTTTCCTGGAAATTAAAACAAACAAACAAATTTTTAAAATACCTCCTGACTGGAAGGCATATTAGCCTGAGGTTTGTGGCTATTGGGGGTGGGGGGTGGCTGCCTGCAGAAAGCTGTCTTCTGCCAGGCTGTGGAAGGCACCAGAACCAAGCTGGTGAGACTCACGTGCCCTGGCAACAGGGCCTGCTCCATCTGGGTGGCCCATTCCATCCTCCAGGCATGGGGCTCCCTGGAGCAAGGACAGCACATTCCCTGACTATACTTGGAGAAAGCCCAGAACTTAGTGCTCTACACAGTGGGGCCTCACTTAAAGATGTTCCAGATCATCCAGCCTCCGAGGGATAGCAGCTGCTTGACTAGAACTGGTCATACCCAAGCGCTCGCAAGATAGCTCAGCCAGTAAAGAGCAGCTTGTCTCAAAGGTCTAGTGGCCTAATCCCTGGAGCCCACATAGAAGTGGACACAAAAAATGGCCTCCACAGCACCTCCACATGCACAGGATGACACACACATGTACATACCTGTGCACGCACGCACACACGTGCATTAATAATAATTAAAAAGAAAAGGTCATGCCAAGTTCTGGGCCTTGGTATGCATGCTTCCTGAAGACAGAGGATTCATTTCAGAAAAGCTGTGTCATCACAGACCAGGTGAAAGGGCCCCAACTCACCTGCTGCAGGGTAGGAGGGTGTGGTCTCCATCTCCTCTCCCCACACCTAGAGAGATGCTTGAGGGCCTGACCAGGAAGCCAGGGCTCCCTCACATCTGGAACTGCTCTAGTCAAACTGGACTCTAGTCCGGTTGCAAAAAAAAATAAAAATGGCCATCTTCAAAGTGAGAAACTGCCCTGGTAATCTCACTCAGAAATCCAGGCTGGCCTTAAACCTACAGCAATCCTCCTGTCTCTGCTTTTCCAGAGTTCAGGGATTACAAGCTCGAGTCATGACCATGCCCAGCTCCAAAAGCACCTGAGGAAAACTTGCAAACACCAGGAGGAACCTTACATCCAGCTCCCCAGATCCAACTCTCCAGCTTATGACAGTGTTGGGATCATGCAAGGCAGAGGCTATTTTCCAGTTTTGTACCGATTAAACTAAAAGATACACATCCTCCACAGTGGACAAGGCAGAGTGGCAGTATCTGCCTAGGCTGAAGTATCCAGTAGGGCTAACAAAGTGAGAAACCCACGTGAGATGAGGCCGAGCCAAGGGCAGTGCTATCTGTGCCACTATGCCTCACTCAACGCAGCAAACCAGCCAGTTGTGGTAGTGTACACCTGAAATCAGTCCCACTACTAGGGAGACTAAAGCAGGTGTGCAAAGTTCAAGGCCAGCCTGGACTCCACGGCAAGATCCTGTCTCAAACAAAGCAAAGCACACCCAGTAAGCCAGGGGGCTGAGAGGGTCACCCCTATAGAATACAGTGCTCGCCTAGCAGGCCCAAGGCCTGGGCTCTAGCCCCAGTAGCATGGGGAAGAATGTGTTTTCCAATGGTCCACTTGGGTTACATTTCTAATTGACATTCTAACTTGGCCAACTGAATGCCTGGCTTCTAAACTCGTTCAGTTCCATTCTGCATATGGCTCCCCGAGGGAGCTGACTCCGTTCTAACTGTCCAAAAACTAAGCTAGAGACTAATGACGTGGGGCTGAACTCTATTTTTAGGGGAATTAAGGACGAAAACAGGGGCTGGGGAGAAGGCTCCGCTGATAAACTGCTCTTCCTGAAGGCATGAGAACTTAAGATTTTTAACATCCACATAAACGGCCAGGTATTGTACACACACTCGACCCCAGTGCTGGGGCGCTGGAGACAGGAAGTTCTCTGAAGCTCACTGGCCACTCAGAAATGGGTGAGCCCCAAGTTCAGTGAGAAACCCTGTCTCAAAAAATAGGTAAGAGTGATTAGGGAAGACACCGGACACTGCCCTCTGGCCACCATAGATATGAGCACATACAAGTACGTGTACTGCACGCACGTGTCCACACACACACTCCTATATGATCAAAACAAAGGAAGAAGTGGCTATAAGGGTCTGCAATGGATGATGATGTGGCTTTGGGACAGTGGTGGGTCAGCCCATAATACTCACGAGCTGATGTTGGTCTTGGCATGCTCCTGCACCAGCTCACCCTTGGGGTTGACAGTGAAGATCCTGTTCAGGGACACTCCCACTTGCTTGTAGGAATACACATCCTGTGTTTAGAAGAGGTTTAACACGTCAGGGGCCACGGAGAGCTCACTGTACAAAGCAGTACACGCCATCTTGGCGGGATGGGGTCACGCTCAGCTAGCTTTTCTCCCTGGGCCTCAGCTCCTTCAACTCTTCAGGACCTGAGCTAATGTCAGCCTGGTTGGCATTCCTCGGGCTTATTTTCTCACCCGTTAGTTTCTCATTTCATAAAAAATCTGCCACAGGTTTTAAATCTGCCACAGCTCTAGTCTATAAACTACAGAACCTTCTAGCAAGCATGGGTCACATACACGACCTCTGCGAACACTCCTGCCTCCCATGAGTCTTTGCTACGGGCTTCAAACTGAACCTTCCTGGGTTCACGCGCACCATCTCACACATTTCCTTCAGCCAGGGAGATTTCATTATATGCTTCAGGGCTGGAGGTGTTGCAGCCAATACTGTGGTCAAGCAGTGATGGCCACACCTGCTAAGAAGGACCCAGCACCTTCGGTGCCCTCATTTTACTAACTTAACGAACGTGCAATTGCAAGTTGGTGGCTTCAAAATTACTAGCCAGCCTTCAAAGAAGACCAGAGGCCATGGTGACATGACTTTTAACTGCTCTGCCTTAGGATGAGGTTGCTTTATGGGGACTCCTCGGCCAGGCCTCTGTGGAAACTGGCACCAAGTGCAATGTCTGGCTCCATTGACCCCTCGGGTACTTACAGCAGGCCGGTTCCCAAAGGCAGCATAGAAGGGTTCTGTGTTTGGGAAAAACAGGTTTTTGATGTCTGTCAAACACTGGACTTTGAACTTTTCTGGCTTCTTTTCAATCACTTCTCTATTAAAACAAACAAATAAGTAGCTGGTCAGCATAAGAGGACTTAAGCCTTGTTTGCATTGAAGTGGTTTGAGGGTCAGCAAAGCTGCTTAGTGGCGGCCTGGGTGGAGTCCCCAGAACCCACTGGGAAGCAGGAGAGAACTTACTCTTGCATGTTGGCCTCTGACTTCTGCACACACACACCATGACGCATGCACATACACACACAGAGTAAATTAAAAAGTAATTGAAAAATTTAAACTAGTTTTCAATGTGCAAACTATAAAGTTGGCCCAGCAGCCAAAAAAACAACTCAGAATGAACCTCACTCTCAGTACAAGAAAAACGGAAAGGACCAGCCACAGCCAAGGTGTAACCTCAGAAACAAAAGTTTATGTTAGCATGGACCAGAGTCACTGGTGAATACACAGGCAAAGTTCCAAGGACATTTATAAATGCAAGGGGAGGCAATGTAGGGAGGTAGGGTCATTACAGGGAAGCAGGTATGCCCTCTGCAAGAGCAGCAACATGCTTTTAACTGTTGAGCCATCTCTCCAGCCCCGGGACAAAAATTCTTACATCAGTGGGAGAGGATGCGCTTAGCCCTGCTGTGACTTAAGGTGCCTGGGTGGGCTGGTACCCCTTTGGGACCTCCCCTTCTCTGAGAAAAGGGAGGAGGAGGAACAGAGGGAAGGGGATGTGAGGGCAGGACTGGAAGGAGAGGAGGGAGGGGTTCAGATCAGGCTGTGAAAAGATTAAACTAATAAATAAAAGGGGGGAAAAAGAATAGAAAAATGGTGGCCGACACCTGTAACCCCAGAACTGGGGTGTGGGGCCAGGCAGAGGCAGGAGAGTGGCAAAGAAAATCAGGCATTAGCATGGTCTACATAGTGAGTTCCAGCCCAAAACTGGGCTACAATGGTGAGAAACTCCCATAAGGTTCTTCTGCAAACATCCTACAGGTAGTAAAACAACAGTCTCCAGAGCCATTGCAGTTCAGTATCGGGCTTCTGATACTAGCCGGAGAACCACAGAAAAAAAAAAAAAAAAAAAAAAAAAGGTAAATAAAAGCTTTTAAAAAAATAGAATTTAGGGGTTCTTTATGTATTTATGTGTTTACTTAATTATATTTATTTGTGTGAGCACACATGCATGCACACATTCATATCACATAGAGACCATAAGAAAACTTAAAGGAATCATTTTTCCCCACTGTGTGGGTTCCCAGGGATCAAATTCAGGTCATCGGGCTTAGAGCAAGCACCCTTCACACTGATATATCTCACAGGTCCCAGGAGCTTAAACACATATACAGAGGGTGGGCATAAATTAACAATATAACAAGAAGTTAGGGAGATTATTACAAGTCAATAAACAAAAAGCAATACACAAAAGTCAGTGGGTTTTCTTGCATCAGAAACAGGTGAAAATATCACATAAACAGTATTTTTTAACAAAATTTTTAAACATCAAGAATCTAGACACATACCTAACAAAGAGAAGATGAGCCTTGTTGGTTAAAATTATAAAAACTCACTGACATAATAATAGGGAAGAAAAGCTTAAACGAAATAAAGAGACAGACCAGATTCCTGAATTGGATGATTATAGTACAATGAGCTATTAATAACTGGTCTCTAGATTCACTGCATTTTTATAAAATCATTAACAGGCCTTTGGTTCTAACAGAAACTGGGCTCTAAAAGCCACGCAGTAGAGCAGCGGGTCTGACAGAGCCTGGACGCTCCTGAGGGGGGGAGGGAAGCTAGGACTAGGATGTTGTGCAGAGACGGCCAGCTACGGGGCTGGTGCGTGTGCATGCATGCACGTCTTTGTGGGTACACGGAAAGTGTGGAGGCCAGAGGCCAGCCTCAGGTGCCACTCCACAGGTGCTATCGACATATTCTGTTTTCCAGAGTTTCTCACTGGTCTGGGATAGGCAAGGCTGACTGACCAGTGAGGCCCCAGGATTCCAGCTGTCTCTGCCAGCACACCCTTCTTTTACATGGGATATGTAGTATTAGGTCAACAGCTCTTACATTCTAAGACACTGGAACTTTTGCTGGACCCCACAGCCAGTTAGGTCACTTAAGACTTTAGTCTGCCGTTCTACTGTGCACTCGGCCTGTTTGCTGGGCCTGCTTTTAAGAGAACAAGGTAACCATCGACCCTGCCTGCATCCGAAGCTAGTGAAGAGCTGTAATCTTAATTTATGTACTTTTCCATGTCCCTGACCCAGAGTAGCACATGTGCATTTGTATGTTATGATAATAATTCCTAAACACAGCAAAAACAGAGGCTGAAAAATTTATAAAATGAATCTCCACCATAAATGTTGAGCACATTTGGATATTGCTTAATAAGCAATGAGATGTTCTTGGGTCAGTCGCGGTCAGCTGGAGCCCGTGACAATCCCTTGTAAAGCTCTGTCAGACATTTCTGTAAAGTGTCCCTCTTTCCTTCCTCGTGTGGTGCTTTCTACGCTGTGCAAGGAAGACAGGGCAGACACCTGGGTTAGGGACAGAGTCACAAGTCAGGCAGGCACAGACTCACACATGAGACAGACAGGCAAGACGACAGGAGACAAAGGGAGAAGGAAGTAGAGAATTCAAATCTGGGATCGTTCTTGGTTAGATGACACCGAGAGGAAGTGCTTTGATTTCTTTCATAAATATGATACTGACGCATTATTGGTGACACAGAACTTATTAGTAATGTGTTCAAAGAGACTGTATTTTGGTGCCTTGTGTGAGGAATCTTTAATGAATGTAATATACACACATGGCTTCAGGGGTTCAAATCCCTCTTCACGCTTGCAAGGCAAGAGCATTTACCAGTTGAGCCATCTCTCCAGCCCAAAAGGCTATTCATTCTGTTAAACTTGGGATGAGAAAGAGAAAGAACAAAGCCGGCCCGGCAGGTCAGTGCATGGGCGTCGGCTGGCTGGACAGTACCTGTGCAAGGCGGAGAAAAGGCTGCTTGGGCTGAGCAGAAGCGGCCCCTGTGGCAGCACCGTGCCCCTCTCGTTGACCCAGTGCAAGTAGCCCCTCGTCATGTCTGCCATGCCAATGGCACGAGCTGAACAGTAGAGAAACTTGTAGCCATTCCTGGAAGACACAACCCATCCACCTTGAATACAGTTATGGGATAAAACTTTTCGGCGTCCCAAACCCTAAACTCCATCTACCCTATGAAGAAAGGCACAGCTGCAAGGGGTCCACACGAGAGAGTCTCTCACTGCATCGCAGCCTAGCTCTCCAAGTCTTAGCTGGGGTAGCACTCCCTTACAGTAAGCCACCATTCGCCTGTTCTGCAAACCAGACCACACCACACTGCAGTGGCACAGTGTTTGTGGAACCCTTGCCTTGATGAGCAGGGCAATGGAGGGACATACCTGGGAGGGGGAGGGGTGCCCACCACTGAGAAGGGCAACACCAGACTGTCCAGCCCACGCCTCTGTAAAGTCTGAGGCTTTCCCCAGCACCCCTCAGCTGCATGCTCCCAGCCTTCCAGACAGACCACGATGGCCAGAGGTGCCCATGGGGCTGAGCTTGGCCCTGTCCTTAGAGTATAGAAGGCAACTCCTGAAAGCTGTCTGTCCTCTCGCCTCCACTTCAGCCTGTGGCATGCCACACACACAAACTTACATGTGCGCACGTGTATACAAACACACAAACACACACACACGACATGATAAAAAAAAATTTTAATTTCAAACCTCACAATTAGACTTAAATAGTTTTAAATGATTTATCACCATCAAATTTTCCAAGACAAGCATTTAGAGTGGGTGGTCTAAATTTAGACTTGTGGTGGTCTGAATAAAAATGCACTCCCACCGGCCCTTAGAGAGCGGCACTATTATGAGGTGTGGCCTTGTTGGAGGAAGTGTGTCACTGTGGAGGTGGGCTTTGAGATCTCAGAAGCTCAAGCTAGGCCTAGTGTGGCATTCACTTCTGCTGCCTACAGATCAAGATATACAACTCTCAGCATCTTCTCCAGCACCATGTCTGCCTGCACACTGCCACTGTGTTTCCCACCACGACAATAATGCACTAAACGTCTAAAACTGTAAGCCAGCCCCAATTACATGTTTTCCTTTATAACAGTTGCTGTGGCCCAGCCAAACTTTGGGCAGAGTGCAGGGAGTTGTATGGAAAAGTTCGGGAATAGAAGAACCAGGAAGGGACAGGAGCTCCACAAAGAGACCAACAGAGCCAACAAATCTGGGCCCAGGGGCCCCTACAGAAATTGATGTACCAAGCAAGGACCATGCATGGAGAGGGCGAAAACCCTCTGCTCAGATGTAGCCAATAGGCAGCTCAGTCTCCATGTGGATTCCCTGGTAAGGGGAGCAGGGCCTGTCTCTGACATGGACTCTGCTGCTACCTCTTTGACGACCTTCCCCTGGCAGGGTGGCCTTGCCAGGCCACAGAGGAAGAGGGTATAGCCATCCTGATGAGACTTAATAGGCTGGGGTCAGTTGGTAGGAAAGGAGGGCTCCCCTGTTCTAAGGACTAGGGGAAGGAGATGGGGGAAGAGGAAGAAAGGATGGGATCGGAAAGAGACTAGGGAGGGGGCTACAATCGGGATGTAAAATGAATAAATTATAAAAATATAAATTTAAATAAAAAATAAGAGGAAAAAAAGAAAACAAAAAGAGTTACTGTGGTCATGGTATACCACATGGTATCTCTCCACAGTAGTAGAAACCCTATCCATGACAGTCTTCAACACAGTTGTCTTGGTTGCACCAGATAAATGTAAGATACCTACAGTGATATACTGAGTGATAAGGACAGCATCCCCAGCTTCCAATCTCTGGGTGCCCATAGCACACAGTATTGATGACAATTAAAAATGCCCGGAAGAATGAATGGTCACTCGTACCTGAAGTGTTAGCGTGTAGGAGACAGAAGTAGGGAGACTGTGAGTTCCAGATGAGTCTGGGCTGTATAGTAAGACCCTGTCTCAAAACTAAGCATCTGGATACTACTGTATATTAAATGCATGGGATGGAGGACCCAGGGATACTCTCGGTGAGAACCGCTGTTGTGGAGAGAAAGGATTTTGGTCTCATTTTTAATGCCGGGGGAAAGCAATCTTACCTGCCACCTGAGGAAGCAAGCTCTGTGTCAAGCCCAGGCTCAATCTTAGCCTGGTCTCCCGGGCCTTCCACAGCCTGTTTCCCACCCTCCTCTCTGGATTCATTCTTCACCTGCCCACGTAAGACTATCATGCACTGACTCAACCTCTCTTCCCATGTCTACACCCAACCAAGGAGAGCTTCTTGTGGAGCCCTGCTCATCCATGAAGACAGCTCGGCTGCTACCTTGTCACTGAAACCACCTGAGACACCTCCAGCCAGTGGGACCTAGTCAACCCTTCACTATGTCCTAAACAATGTCTACTCAATGTAATAACCCCTTCCCACCTTGTCCAGGAATTACTTGGTATCCTGACCTTGCAGGGGTGTTCCTTCAGCTATAAACAGATGCAATTCTCAGTGTCACAAAGACTATTAGCACCTCTAAAACCATAGACCAGCCACAGGAGGCTGTGGGCAGGAGGAATCACCCACCCAGCCTGGGGGGGGGGGTGGCAGCAAGGTGATTAAATCCTTACCAGCTTCAACTTCTGGAGGCCAAACTTCATAGCAGCCTTCCCATAAAGGTGCATGATCTCTAGTTACTCAAAATATGCAGTCTGTATTATAAATATTATATGTAAACGCTTATTGCCTTTGTTGATATCTAGATGTGTTCAGCATTCCTCCCCTGCCACTTCCACCTTCTTTCTCCTGGTTATTTCTGACTCACCTAGGCTTCCTTTTGGGGCTAGCAGGAGTCACTGTACACATAGAATTTTCCACCATCACTGTCCTTTCATTGCCTCTCTTTGCAGTGATACACCGCCTCTTTGTAAGTTACTCCGTGCTTGGTGGGAAAGATTCTGTATATAGAGTGGGGTTCACAAACTGGCAGTTACCAGGTAGGAATAGAGCACTCTGTACTTACTGGCTTACTTTATGGTACAGCTTTGCAATGCCCTGGTGAGTCCAATCCTTTCCCAGCGTGGGTAAAATGTGACCAAGAGTATCAGATCTAAATAAAGATGAAGGAAAACAAAAGCAAAAGGTTATGGCAAGGAAATTTTTAAAATGCCCATTTGGCTTAAATATACTACTCACACCTTTATTATCTATCTATCTATCTATCTATCTATCTATCTATCTATCTATCTATCTATCTATCTACCTATCTATCTATCTATCTATTCACTCTCCATCCCAATCATAGCCCCTTCCCTCCTTTTCTCCCAGTCCTACCCTCCTTCCTTCTTCTTCATATCCTTCCTCCCCTCCCCTTTAAGAAAGCCCCTACCCACCCATCCCAGCACATTAAGATGTATCAGGACTGGGTGAATCCTCTACCACAAGAGGCCTGAAAAGGCAGCCCCACCAGGGGGAAATGATTGAAAAGCATTTAAGAGAGTCCTTGTCAGAGACAGACCCCACTCCTCTTACTAGGGAACCAACATGAAGACCAAGCTTTCTTATTAAAAAAAAAAAAAAAAAAAAAAGAATGAGGGGCTGGCAAGATGGTTTGCTGCTAAGCCAGGTGGCCCGAGTTTGATCTCAGTCATTCACATGGCAGGAGGAGAGAAAAGACTGCCACAAGTGGATCCCTGAGGTCCATGCCCATGTGCACACATGCATGGACACAAAAATGTAAAACAACAACAACAAAAAAGAAATAACAGCAGGAATGAGAGCCATGTCTTTCTCAACAGAAAGCCCCCCAGGCTCATGGAATCAAGTGACAACACTACGGTACGGCTATGGTAAGCCATCATGCTGAGGACTGGGTTTGCCAAGCCCAAGTGAAGGTCTGCTAACCATTCCAGTATTCTCCATGTTGGAGGATGATGCTCAAACATAAACCAGCCATCGGGCTCTAGTGGCAGCTATGGAAGTGAAGGTGTTGCCCCTATCTGTGCAGCTCCAAATGCAGCAGAAACTCACTCTGGGTCCCACGATGTTACTCAGAACAAGATGAATGCTGACTTCAGATCATACTGCAGTCAGACCCACCTTGTGATGGTCCCATCAATGTCTGAGATGATGACTTTATCGTCCCAGTTCCACAGGTAGATGGTGCCTTCACAGCGACAGGTGCCCTGGTATTGGGTGGTGACACTAAACACCACATCATTGGGGCCATTCTTCAACTTCAAGCTTTTCTGAAAACACACAGACAATTTGTGTGCTTCAGGGGCAGGTCCGGATTCAAGGGTCATTTGGCTTCCATCCCATGAGAAGGACACTTCACTTAAATCAAACCATTTTCCCAGTTCTGCAAAGTTCTCTTTCTTCTGTTAATGGCTTTAGTTCTTTCTGGCTGGACAGGCAAAATAAGTCAAACCTAGCTCTCTCTGGCCCCACTTGTGAAACAACTGCCCATTCTTCACAAAGCATTCTGCTCCTGAAAGTAATGCACACCTGATCCAGTACTTAGACAGTACACCGAGTTAAGTGACTGGCTACGACATGTCTCCCAAACCATGGCACAGGAAATGTGAAGGGCCTCGGTGTGAGGACACAGATATAAGATAGGCAAAAATGTTTCCCTCAATAGTGTTTTTATTGATTATCATAATGACACATACTGGAAAAAGAGGCCTTAAATTAAAAAAAATAAAAAAAAAAAAGACCAGACCCAAGCACATCATCCCAAATTCAGAAAACAAACTACCTTTGGTCAGTCTTCAATCTTTGCTAATATACTCTGAGACAGCAGCTGGCTGCACAGACCCACAAGTTGGCTCTAAGTGTCCCCCAGAGCCCTACAGGCGGCTACCATGGGGTCATCTTTTCCCCCATTAAATACCATCCTATCAAACCTTGTTCCCCATAAATCCTTACAATAGATACACAAGGCTTTATTTGTAGAAAACCAGAGATGTCTGCTCACTGGATGGCCACAATTTTAAATAAGTCCAGGGTGGGATCTCTCTCTCTCTCTCTCTGTGTCTCTCTGTCTCTCTCTCTGTCTCTGTCTCTCTCTCTCTCTCACACACACACACACATATACACACACATGAGGGGAGAATCCTTTGTTTCCAAAGGTTCCCTAAATCCCATCACACCTGCTTGATTTTCACCAATTTTATAGATGCATTTGAGTTAAGAAGCATCTCCCTCAACACAAAGACACTTGGGAGACATATTCAGACATTCCAAAGTCTCTCAGTCACTGATAATGAGGATAAATGGAACCAGTCAAAGCTGCCTCCTCCTTCTAGGTCAGAAAGAAAAAAAAAGCAAGTCAGAACACAAAGTCACATAGTGGGTCCATCTGAACAAAGTCAGGATAGAAACACGGGGTACCAAAGTGAAAAGTGTGAGGCCACCAGCAGGCATGCTGACATATGAAAGGTCCTAAGAAGAGTTAAGTGGGAGCAAGGAACCCCCAGACTTTCAAGAAAGCCTAAAACTCTACCTAGCCATGATCTGAGGACCAGAAACGCAGCATGGTACTCACCAGCTGATCTGATGTGAGCCTCAGGGTCTTTTTGTAGCTGACGTTGGATAAAAGGGAGAGGTGGCTTGAGCTTGATGGCTTGGTAGCTGTGTGCTCTTCATCACTGGAGGATGACTCATGCTTTATTCTGGAACACATGGTGATGCAATTAGGAAACGCATCTGGGTAACCATTAAAAATGCATTAGGCCTCAATCAATGACTTAGTCAATTGGGTCTCTTGGGTGGTCATTTGCCATATGGCTTTAGATTTATCAATGAACTCTCCTACACCCCCATTCATACATGGCTTCATTGTGGGGGGGGGGCACCTCTCCTCAATTACTCTCCAGTTTACCAACTCTCATCATTCACTTTTAACTAGTGTAATTCTACTCCTGATGAGCAGGGCTACATCCATTCTGGACCAGAAAGCTACATACTCTCTCTTCTGCATCTTTTCTCTTTCCACTGAAGGCTGAGGGCCAAGCCCTAAGAGTCCAAATGTCTACAGTCCAAACACCATCAATTCCCTCATATCCAATTTCGTCAATTCCACATATCCAATTCCAAACAATTAGAGCACTTCCTGGCCTTAAGAAGACTTGCCATTTCACCCACCGAGACTCCTATAAGTCACTATGAGCCAAGAGCTCTGCCAGTACAGAATCCATAGACCAATGCCCCAGCTCTTCTACTTGCTCCTACAGGTTGGAGCTGGGAGGCAGGGTAAAACTCAGGCCCACCATCTTCAAGTGCCTCAAAGAAAGTAGGTCAGTAAATTAGTTGCTCCCTGAGCTCAATTTTGTGGCTTCATCTCCAACCTAACGGTGTCTGCTCTGCCTCCAAAGCTTAGCCCATGCAAAGTACTTATAATGGGCTTGGATGGAATGGAAGAAGCCAAGTTGTCCCCAAAAAAGGCATGTCCCTATTGGTCCTAGTTAGGGTTTCTATTGCTGTGAGAAAATGCCATGATCAAAAGCAACCTGGGGAGGAAAGGGTTTATTTCAGCTTATAACTGTCAGGTCACATACTCCATTACGGAAGTATGGAAGTCAGGGCAGGAACCTGGAGGCAGGAGCTGATGCAGAGACCATAGAGGAATGCTGCTTACTGGCTTGATCATCATGGCTTGTTCAGCCTGCTTTCTTGTACAACTGCCCAAGAATAAATGGCACTGCCTGTGGTTTGAGCTGGGCCCTCCTACATCAATTATCACATAAGTCAATACCTTAGAAGCTTGCCTCTAAGGCCAATCTTATGGAGGCATCTTCTCAATTAAGATTCCCTCTTCCCAGATTTATTTATTTATTTTTATTATTGTATTATTTGTTTATTGCTTATTTTATTATTTACTTATTATTACATTATTTGTTGCTTATTTATTTTGTTTTTTATATTTTTTAAGCAATAAAAATAGATAGATAAATATATACATAACTCGACCAGCTCACCAGCATTCATGTCCCTTTATACAGGACATCATATACACAGCTCTCCATTTTCTTTACCTCAGGGAGTGCTTCCCTCTCCTTCTCAACCAGTCCCTGCCTCCACTTCCCCTGGCCTGCTTTATGGTCACCCACATAGCCTCCCACACAAGCCTTGCCACTCATTCAAGCATGGCCCAATGTTGCCCAGTACCAAGAAGTCATCACGGGGAACACTCACATAGCACCCCTACTTCTGTGTGGAGACCTGGCTCTGTGTGAATCCAAAAATTGAAAAAAAAAAAAAGAAAAAGAAAGAAAGAGAGAAAGAAAGAGAGAGAGAGAAAGAAAGAAAGAAAGAAAGAAAGAAAGAAAGAAAGAAAGAAAGA